GCTTGGTATCATCTGCAAACTTGCTGAGGGTGCACTCTATGCCATCTTCCACATAGTCGATGAAGATATTGAACAAAACTGGCCTCAGAACCAATGCCTGGGGCACTCTACTTAATACCAGGTGCCAACTAGACATTGATTACTACCCTTTGAGCCTGAAGATCCAGCCAGTTTTCTATCCACCTTACAGTCCACTCATCCAGCGGGTACCTCCTTAGCTTGCTTGCAAGGATGTTGCGGGAGACTGTATCAAACGTCTTGCTAAGTCAAGGTATATAATATTTATTTCTCTTCTCATGTCCCCAGAGCCAGTCATCTTATCATAGAAAGCAATCAAGGTGGTCAGACATGCCTTGCCCTTGGTGAATCTATGCTGACTGTTCCTAATCATCTTCTTCTAGGAATATGTAGATGTGGATTCAGTTCTTTATTCTGCCACACACCTCCTGTGCGTAAATAGGATTTAGGTAAGATTTAGGATCTTAAGCTGCAAGAAGTGATTCTGAAGACAGCTGTTCCATTAGCCACATAATCCTCCAGGTGCCTAAATCCATTTGGTGCCTATGTTCAGGACTGCAGAGAGCCTCACATGCCTAAATTTAGGCTCCAGACACATACAGAACTGTGGCATCTTGAGCAGTAGGATGCTTCACTCTGCTGAAGCTCCAATGCAAGCTGAAATGGCGTGAGGCAGTGCTACAGCTGTCTAAGCCCATGCAATGACAAATCTGGTAGATGGGGATTATTTGTATTTTTATCTAATGTCTGGTTAAAATGCATAACAGTCCAGAGAACAGGACCAGGGCTCTCCTACCAAGTCAAGTGCATGAACCATCAGGCTAGAGAAGCAGGCTCCCTTTTGCTTGCCTTCCATTGGCCTCAGGACTCTTGTAGTCTTACCTGCTCTGTGGCCTAACTTTAATAGGAGTGGAGGGTGGTAGGCAGTGGCAGATGTGGGTTTGAATCCTTTCTGGTTGAAGACAGCGCTATAACTTAGGTCTCCTACATGCAATAGGCTGTTATGAAAAAGGTGGGTACCACCATCAGGTCCCCTAAGAAGAGGCTCAGAGCTCTTGATCTCAAATGAACAGATACACCAAAGCTCCAGAGAGGGGTTTAGAGTCACCTGTGTGCTTAGTTTTTGCTCTTGGCTAGCTCTAGCCAACTTCTTGCTTATAGCCTGTGCTTTCTGAATCATCTTCTCATCTTTGCCTGCACAGGGAGCCAAGGCACTTAACCTCATTTCTTTGACTCAGCCTCCCAGGGCCTAGCTCCTAATTTAAGTGTGCCAATGCTAAAAATGGAGGCATCTAAGTAGCTAGTCTGCATTTGCTTTTAGCCTCTCTGTTCCTCAGTACTATAGTGGTGACAACAGCACTGCCCTGCCATGCATGCACGTTATGAACATAAACTTATTCCTGACTGGGATGTGCTCAGACATTATAGTGATGGGGAGCATGTATATTCCAAGGATACAGCTTCCAGCACTTCCTCTGGCCTCATTGTTGCTGGCCCTCCTGTCAAACCTGTCCTCTGCCTGCTACCCTGGTTTCCCAGTGCCTATCATGAGGAAGGCCTTGGCCCTTATCTTTAAAATGGTCAGCAGCCAAGGCTTAGTGAATCCCTGAAATAGTCTGTAGCTTCAGGGTGAGGGCCGTGATCAACGACTCTACTCTTCAGGCACAATGAAGCTTTGAAATGAGGGTATGACGTCTTCTGTGCCAGGGTCAGAGCCATCTTCGGGGGGCAGTCTGATGCTGTGGCACAAACCACTGCAGGAACTATAAAGAGCATCACAAACCTTCTGCTCTAAGTAACAAATGTGCTACCTGCCTGCCTGCTTGAACATCAACACAGAGCAACGCTGACACTAAAAAATGAGTAAAACCCTATCAAAACTACCTATTCCACTGCACACACAATTCTTCCCTTCAGGACAGAATGAGAGACGGAGGTCACTTACTTTGCTTAATGCACATGTGAAAGGGCTTCAGATATTGTGATGAGAACATACAAAAACTTACACAGAACCTCAGTTCACCTCCACAGTACCCAGCCCCCATGCATTACTGACATGACACAATGACAACTGGCAGAGGAACAGAGGAACAATTGTATTTGTGATACAGGAGGGAATCCCTCCTGCAGATGGAGTGCCTGGCATTGGTATTTTCATGGTGTCCCACATTAGCAGATCTGTTTCACACAGAAAGAGATGATTCTTTATGACACTTGTTTCACAGAGGGCTTGTTTCTCATGCAGCAGCAAACAGCATGGTCTGTATAAATGGCTTTACAGAGTCATACATTATAATGCCAGAAGAGACCATTGTGAACATCCAGTCTGACCTCCTGTATAACAAAGGCCAGAGGCCTTCCCTGAATTCGTTGTGGTTTGAACTAATCTGTCATTTACATCTCAGTTTTAAAATGGTCAATTGTGGTGACTCCCTGGAAAGCTTTAGGAAGTTATTGTAATGGTCAATTGCCCTCTTTATTAAACATGGGTATCCTATGACTAGGATCAGGGTCACCCTTAACACAGGAGCAGGCAATTATTTTGGGTGGAGGGCCACTTGCTGAGTTTTGGCAAGCTGTCGAGGGCTGCATGGATAGCCCTACCACTTGACAGGTGCCCTGCCCCTAGTCACCATCTTGTGACTGGAAGTCCTGCCCCCTAACCCCTGACCTTTGCCACCAGAAGTCCATCCCCTTGAACCCAACAGTACTCCTTTCAGCAAGGGGTTTTGCCATCTCTGAACCAGAAAAATACCAAATTATTTTCTAATAAACAAACGTGTACTACAATATTCATTAATTTCATGAATTAATGGGGGAGGGTGGCTGGGGTGTCTGAGGGGTGTGGGAGTCTGTGTGTATGTCAGAGCAAGGGGGGTGTGGGTATATGTGTAGGGTGAGTAGTGCATGTGGGACTTGCCCTATCTCTCTCTCTCTCTCACACACACACACACACACACACACACACACACACACACACACACACCCCCCCCCCCT